GACAAAATTGTACAGACAAATAGATTGGTTAATGAATTGACGTCTAGCGAATGCAGTTTTAATACAAAATGAGCTAAGTACAATGTCTTTTTCTGTTTTGTGCAAAATATTTGAGACAAAAATCAAACCTTTATGTTTTTTTTAATATTGTGTATAAAATATAAAATTTTCTTATACTTAGTACAATACATTTTAAATAAAGGCTCTTTGTTGGAAATTTATACGGCAAAAAGTACATTGTCTTTACTTACAATATTCTTGCAATTAGAAAGAGCTCACCGTACCTAATAATTCCAATTACAAAAAAATTGTTTTTGTTGCTCCACCCTATATCGGAAGGCAGTAAGTTATCAACGTTTGAGCTAATACCACATAAATTTTGTTAATGAGAGTATGTAAAGTAATATGTCTAAATGTTTTAAGAATCCAGGTTAATTTTCTAAACCTACATATTATTATATCAATATGTTCATGCCAAGTTAAACGTTGATCTATAATGATTCATAAGTACCTGGTTTAATAAACTTTGGAAATGGCAGAACAGTTACAATTTTAAACTTCGTCAAAGTTGCAATGTGAATCTTTACGTTAAAGTTATTTCCCGGTTGAGTCCGGTTTTTAATATTAAAACAAATATAATTAGTTTTCAGTGCATTAATTGTCAAAAACTGATTGAAGCCAATTTGCAACTTTAGTAAGGCCAGATTCTGTATTTTTACAAATGTCATCCCGTGATACTCCAGTAAAATCTACAGCAATATCATCGGCATATGTGAACACACGGGCACCATTAATTTGTAGATTACAAAGATCATTGATATAAATTAGAAATGACGTTGGGCCCAAAATACTACCTTGTGGTACGCCGTAAGTGGTATACGTGTCGTCACTAATAAAGTGATATATTTTATCTTTTTGTGTACGGTTTAATAAGTAATTTTTAATAAAAGTCGAGTTTATGTCCTTTACGCCGATGTTTTCTAATTTTTGTAAAAGGATGGAGACAGAGATAGAATCAAGTGCCTTTTTCAGGTCTAGAAAAACTTCAAGACATTTTACCAATTTATCATTACGACGATGAAAGTTTTGTGTTGATAAGTTTTTGTAATAATATCTTAGAAATTGGAAGTAGTACATAATTGGCCTGGCAAATGTATTAAATAAAAAATTTAAATCGCTGTATAAATTTATGAAATAATTATTTATTCTAATAAAAAATAAGTTCTTCATATTTATTGGCCCGTAAAATTTCCCTCTCCTGTGCTAGGAAGTATTTGCCTTAATCCTTACGCTACACTAGCTGATTGACGATCACATTTGGGACCGGATGTCTCGCATCTATGACACCGCTTCCCGTCGCCGGCCACATTCGATACTTTACGCCTGACGTAATACAAACTGGTCATAGCATATTCTCGACTCTTCTTACATCTTCTTCTTACATCTACGGGACAAAATGGAGTGATGGATTCTATAACTCCGCCGCCACAACATGCCTAAAATAAAATTTCACATTAAACTCAAACTTTAAATTTTTGTCGCGTTGACATTGTAACACAATTTAGCAATTATTAAGTAAGTTAAATATTTACTTCTTTCTATTCATTTATTAATTATCTGTTAATTCCACTTCTAATCATAGGCATATTTTTCCTTGCCTTATCGGGGAATATATTTTCCATAGATGCTAATTTTGGTAGGTGGCTTGGTAGCCGCATATCCTGATTCGTGGGATCTAAGATCTAAGTCATATTTAGAGGTCCCGGATAGAAAAAAGTTTTAAAAAAGTCCGAAACATTTGACATGTTCGTTAATGCAAAACTTTATAAAAAATCTTTGAAATTTTTCTTCTGTTGTTTCTGCACACATCCAATCATTATAAGTATGTATAAATATATATAATCTATGTTTCAGTCGCTAGTAAGCGTTTTATACATATAACATAATATTCCAATAAATTATTACGTGTTATATTATACACCTCAAACAATTAAAATACATTTAAGATATTTGACATAATTTATTCTCTTCATCCTCAAATTAAACGAAAAATGAAGCACCATACATTTTCACTTCACCCTACAGTATCAGTTAGTGTAATGAGAAGGTATACTGGAGTAATCGCTTTCATAATGAAATATGAAAAAGCAAATAAAAACCAAACATAAAAAGTTTATTATATTCTATAGTAAATATTACCAAGTTTGAATAAAATCAAGCTAGTACAACAATATTTTTATGCTCAATACATTTAAAGTACATAACTTCATCCGCATAAAAATCACGTCGATGTAATGAGTTTTCAGAGATGGAGAGAATTCTTAAAATAGACAGTGTCAATTACTTTTACACAACGACTGAAAGTAAACAAGAAAAGTAAAATAAACTTATTATCTATTTAATTAAGATAGAAATAACAAAACACACTTAAGTAAGGTGAACGCAATTTGAATAAAAACAAAATATATTTTCTTTCCAAAGAATGTTTATTTATTTTAATTAACTCACTTAGTAAGTAAGTTATAATTAATGCGATTTATTTTTAATTGTCATTTATTTTATGTTTCTGTCTACTCAGTATTTTCCGAGATAATTAAAACAAACAATGAGCCGAAAATAATGTTAGATGATTAAGCGTACCTATTTATAGTTAATTAGCTTTTTACCCGCGGATTCACTCGCGTGGGCTTTAATTTAAGAACGTCTTTAGATACTGTTCCGTGCAAAAATTAATAAAATTCGATTGAAAATGTGTGTCTTCCGATGCATCCTTTAAAAAGGTTAAAATCTAAATTGCATTATTTACATTTTACTCTTTACGTTCATCCATAATAATTAAACTTAATTTGGTTTTGACTAAATAATGTTGAGTTTCATAGTCGTCAATTAATTTACGGTATTATATTTTTATTTGCGACATTTGATTCATATTATTGGCCCCAAACAAACAAGAGATGGGTAGCATCATCTTAATAAAACAAAATAAAACCTGCCTTTGCCAAACCGCCTGCTAAGTGTGGCAAGTACAGCCAATATCCAGCCTATTTGATATCCTATGTGGGAGGCCTATGCTCAGTTCAGTGGACTGTGCCTGCCAGGCTGTAATGATAACGATGATGAATTCTACTCATTTTTGCCACTCTTATTATTTAAAAAAGTAACATCTCCGAAAATATGAAAGAAATAAAAATTGTATAATTGCCAACAAGCTGCAGAAAGTTTTGGGCCAAAAATTGTGTTCGCTGTGCTGACCTGAAAGATATATTTCTTCACCGCCTAAAACGTGGTAAATCGACACTTCAAACTGCTATTAAAACATTCAACAATCGAATTCGGGTTGCTTACGAAATATGAAATTTACGTTTGAATCAGTTCGATTACCGCCTTTGACAAGTAAAATAAAATTAATTTTTATTTAAGTAAAATCTGCTTTCTTTCATAGTTAAAGTATTTTTCGCACCAGCCGTTCATTTAAACTCATGTGAGCTGAGAAACCTGGACTGTCACAAAAATCTTAAATATCTCTGAAAATATTAAAGCTATCTTAAATGAAAATCTGATTTATAAGTCTTATTAAAGATAAAAAAGTAAAGTAGCAGTTTTCATACGCCTCACGGCTGTGCACAGAGCTCCTCGTTGTGAGCAGAAAAGAGTATACCGCAATGATTCAATGCATATTAACGGTTTTCACATTTCTACGACTTTGTTAACTACTCACACATCTTAATATCTCTACGAAGTTATTCTCCACCACTTCTACAAACTTGTGGTAAGTCAGCACGTAAAATTTCCTACAATAGTTTAATTCGCCCTCGTGAGAATCTTACACGTTTTGCTCTCATGCTATGATGAAATCTCACGGCGAGCTCTCGTATTTGTTTAAATAAAATTCGTAAAATCAGGATTGAATCGTCGAAGTCGTCGTTTGCACGATTGCTGACCACGTCTATCTAGTAATTACACAGCCAACGATGCCATGAATTATTCCATCAAATAGAAATCTTATGGTAAATAATTTCTTTTTATATACTAGGTCACTTTTTTACCGTTTGGAAAAAAATAGGGTGTAACAGGTGAACGGAATAAAAGGCTAAGCCATTGATATTTTACAATTTTTATTTTATATTACATTAACATAATATGAAATTGATCTATCAATAAATAATACTAATTGGGTACGTATTATTTTAATTTCGGTAGTTCAAGAATTTTGTTGTTATTTTTTTAATAGTACTGATTTTTTTTTAAATTAGTAGTATTTATAGATAAATCAATTTCATAATATGTTAATGTAAAATAAATAAAAAATTGTAATATGTTAGTGGCTCAGGCTTTTATACCGTTTACCTGTTACACCCTATTTTTTTCCAGACGCTAAAAATAATCCAGTATCGTTTTTCATTTATTCTGTGGTATAAGTGACTGCCGTCGCCAAGGTATGTGGCTAGCAGTCCATGGACCCATGCAGCAAACTTCATAAATATATGAGGCTACATATATATGCGTTGTCCATTCTGAGGAATGCCCAAAAAATTTTATCCGGTTATTTTCCGTTTTGATGGCACACGATAATAATTTTTGACACTCGAACTAACATGAAGGTTAATATAATAAAACAATTTTCAGGTGGAGTGTGCTCGCTGGTCACCCTTAATTTTTTAAATAAATCTCGTCAATAATTATGCATTTTGAAAAGAAAAGCTGAGGACAAAAGACTATATCAGAACACATGCGTTTAGAAGTTAAAGTCAATAGGCACAAGCAGTCCAATCGTTTTATACCTAATGCTAGATATTCAACAACTATATTAAAGAATAAAAAAATATGTAAAATACTTGAATTTTTAGTTTAATATAAATAAAAGAAATTTAACATTAAGTTCTTTCAAAAATCCGAAAAGATTATTATTATTGTATTATACCCATTCCCATACCCATATTCGACAAATTAGTACTTGTTTCGGCAATAAAAAATTATTTATTATTAATTTGAACAGAATCATGCTGAACAAGAAGACATTCGTTGCACTGGCCCTGGCGCTGGCTGTTGTTTATCTGGCTGAAGCCAGGGAGGAGGGCCCTCACGATATGGCTGACGCACTTCGAATGCTGGAAGAACTCGATCGCTACTACACCCAAGCTACCAGACCGAGGTATGTTCTTATTTGAATATATACTTGTTAACAATAGAATTAGAGGAAATGGTACATACATTTTTTGTTTAATGATTTTATATTTCATTTAAGTACGGAACAATCATAATAATTCTCACTCGCAGTGGCGCATAATGGCACAGCGGAAAGCTGTTGATAACAATTTTAATTTTTAGTTTCAAAATTAAGTCGGAATGTAAGCATTACATTCTTGATATTCACTCTTCGTGTCACCACCCTCATGTCAATATATGAATTTCAAAAGTTTTAATTGTTCAATCATTATGATGAATACTATTTTTTTTAAATAAAATTGAAGTGACTGGCCGCGGTAGTGGAAGGAACTTCGATGCGTTGCTTGTCGCGCAACGACAGCATTTAACTAATGAACTAACAGCAAATCTGATAGAAAGTGGTTACTGTAGTCTATATATTCATTTGTAACTAATTTGTGTAAAGTTTTAACTGTAAACAAATTAGTTGTCACCTATGTGGACTAAGATTGGCTCGACCGGGAAAGGACCATGCTCTCTCAGAATACCAGCTGAAAATAGCAACATAATGAGGCTGTGTTTCGTACGGTGCGTGTAGGAAACCCTTTTTACAGGAAACGAGGCATTCCATCTTAGTCTTCAGGGGTGTCAACGCATCTGCAATTTGATTCTTAATCGAGGATAAATGGGCTACAGAATCCACGTGCCACCAGGTGAACTGCGAGCTCGTTTGCTATTCTCATTCTACATAAAAAAGAACAAACTAATCATATAATAATAGATAAAAAAAGCTCATCGGTTATACTATGTTCTGAAACTGTAAACGCTAAACGTCTTTGGAGCTTACTTTAATAGCAGTGTAAAGATATATAGAGCTGGAGTTGCGCAGGTATGATCAATTTAGAAAGTGTTTTGCATGGAATATTACGCCTCCATATTATATTTTTGCAAATTGATTTACTATTCTGTACTTTGATAAATTATTTTCAGGGGCTAAATACATTACTGTTTTATATTCCGTTGGCAAATCTTTTTATAATGATTATATTATCTATTTGATAATTACATGTCATTTTAATGCTTTTATAAATAAAAAAGATATTTTATATCGTTATATCATTATTTTAAATTTAATGTTATACGTAGTAGAACTATGTTGCAGTTATATTAGTAGTCGACCAAGGAAGGAACCACTTCTCACAGAATACCAGCGTCAAATAATAGCTTAATGCTGCTGTTTCGTATGGTGAGTGTAGAGAACCGGAGACCCCTTTTTACTGGAAACGAGGCATTTCATCTTAGTCCTCACGGGTGACAACGCATCTGCATTTTGAATCGTATTCGAGGATAGATGTAGATGTTCATGGGCCGCAGAACCACTTACCATCAGGTGGACTGTGTGCTCGTTTGTCACCCTATCCTATAAAAAAGCGATGTTAAAGTTTAATTCAATTTCAGTTTAAACAACGATGTACAAAATAATATAAGCATTAATATGTTTCTTGACAACTGGTCATACATCTGTTCGTTCATACGTTACATCTGGTCGTTACCGTGAAGTGGTGGTATAAGAATATCAACTACCCCATATCATCCTGTGGGTGTCGTAAGAGGTGACAGAGGGAAACGCATCAGAAGATGGGCAGCAGCATCCTCCTATACATCGACTAAAAATAAAACTGTGGTTGCCAACACGCTTGGTAAGCATGGCAACGATGGTAAATCACCGCTATGAGGCAATTTATGGGTGAGGCTAGGGAAGGGGTCGATCTGGATGTTAAAATGGTGTTTAAATTTTTTTAATGTCGTTTTTTCACACTCTTTTAAGATAGCTCGTATTTTTCTTAATATCATATTGTAGACCTATTTTAATACATTTTTGACGTCTACAGAAATAAATAAAATTGTCGTAGTGTGTTGGAGTGTCGCAGTGTGTATAATGCCATAATAAGAGCTTTTTACTAAATGCATATGAAAGTTTATACAGTACTGATATCAAAAAAATAATTTTTCTCTCGTGTGACAAACTAGCACACATTCCACCTGATGGTAAGTGCTTGCTGTGACCCATAGACATCTACATCTATCCTCGATTACGAATCAAAATGCAGATGCGTTATCACTCGGAGGACTAAGATGGAGTGCCTCGTTTACAGTAAAAAGGGTCTCGGGTTCTCGACACTCACCATATGAAACACAGCAGCATTAAAGTACTATTTTACGCTGGTATTTTGTGAGAGCGTGGTCCTTCCCCGGTCGAGCCAATCCATTCGTGTAACTCTCGTGTAACTCGTGTAACAACTATATTACTAATATAACTGCAGCATGGCTCTACCACGTAACAACGGCGTTGTTCCGGTTAATCTCCAAAATGGCTGGACCGATTTCGACGGGACTTTTACTGGATAGCTGACGATATAAGGAGTAACTGAGACTACCTTTATTTCAAAAAAAAAAAAAGAATTGCGTTCCGCAGAAAAAATAGAAACTATGAAATCCAATCGTAAGTAATTCCACGCGGACGAAGTCGCGGGCAACAGCTAGTATTATCATAATTTTTGTACTTGTACATCATGTAACACATATCCCTTCAAGAAATTTATGTGTTTACGGACAATTTAACCAAAATATTGGGTAAAGTGTCAAGTAGCGTAACTAAGGAATTATCTTATTAAAATTGTGTGCAAGATCCAAACATCAGGATTAGTAACATGATTTTTTTTAAATTTATTTTGGCAACAAACAGTCGTATACAAAAGGAAATCAAATACAAACAACTTATGTGTTAGAAATTGAACTACAGTACCGAAAAGTTAAATTTTAATATCTTAAAGCTAGCTCCATTTAACCATTGTAATCCAAAGCATGACTGTTACACCATGAGCCGAGAATGGTAAAGTGCGTTTGCCTTATTTTGAAAACTCATTAACTTTTCCGTTGAAGATATCTACACTGTAACTGAAAAAAGATTCCGGCAATTTATTTCACACTTTTGCTAGCAACACACCGCAAAAACAAACCGACAAAGCGAACCGTGTGGTTTGAATGCGTGTTAAATCGACAACAAAGGGGTGGAAACTGAAGCGTCACGTTTATTTGTAGCGATTACCGACAACTCTTATAATATCACAAGCGTTGCTGTTCTTTGAACTTTTCTTTTGAATAATATAATGCCATCAAAACATAACATCAAACAGTCAATCTATATATTTAAAACGTAAAAGATTTTTAACATTGATATGGTCACTATAAAATGTTATTAGGTTAGCTAATTATGTAATAACTTAAAACAGAAGGACCCTTAAGTAGGAACTGAATAAATTAACCGACTTGGTATTACATGGATCTCACAACTTTTTACGGTAGAAGAACTGAGTTGCGAGACTTGTTTTTTTTACAAGTTGTGTTTTTGATGGCATATCATTTCTTTTTGTAGATAAGATAGACCTACTTTTTTACCTTTCCGATACCTTCTACTTTTTGAATACTAACAACGTGCCTATCTACACCTGTTATATTATAAAAGTACACTGATTCATTCACTGCAAATGTAACTTTGTAATTCTATATATTTATATGGGATTACAAAGTTATTTATGCAGTTGGTGTATCTGGAAAACTGGACCGAAATCAACAAATATTTTAGTTTTTGCTTAATTTATACTCTAATCACTAATTGTATTCTAAATTTGAAGCTTCTATATCTGCTAGAAGTGCCTTAGAGTTTTGATGATCGGTCAGTCAGTGAGTGACAAAATTAAGAAACTTTGACTAGTTATAATTCTTAAACTACTAGTTCAAATTGAATGAAATTTGAAATTTACCATGTTTATACAATGCCTACTTGGCTTCTAGTTTTATTGAATACGAAGTTACAGGGGGTCGAAAATGGTCTGAATTGCTTCGAAGAAAGTACGGTACGGCCGTGCCGCTTTTTTGCTCGAATTGGCGCAGTGCCCCCAGATGTAAAATTTTAAATTGCAGTCCTTAAAAGTTAATACGGGTAAACATCATTTATCATCATTACTGCTCTTCACCCCTGCTGAATATAGCTCTTCCAGAAAGAACGCTACAAAGCACGGTACTGAGGTACCAATATCCATAGGTACCGCCACGTCTTATCAGGTCGTCACTCCATTTAGTGGGGGGTGTCCTACATTGCGATTACAGATACGAGGCTGTGACTCTAGAACTTACTTATTGCTACCTCAACTCACTGATTTGTTGGGCTATGGATAATTGATTTGTTTCTACTGCGTTGTATTATAATTAAGGATTATATGAACGTACAGAGTAACTACAAACATAGCCCCCTCCATATCTCACTGAGCTATCTTCAGCTACCTCATACAGTCACCAGTCTAACCACTACGTCTCAGTTCCATTTTATGTAATCACTCGAAATATGCATAGATATTTTCGTTTTAAGTTTTTGAGAAATATCTACACGACGGAAAGATTTCATAATCTCTTAAGCCTCATTTACATTCAGCCCCTGCCACTGCTCCTCGCGCTCCCGGCAATACTTCCCTAAATACTGCCGTAGCAGGATCGCGGGAAGTGTGTATTTACACTCTGCCCTACCACTCACATCACTTTCGGCTTTCGACTATGGCGGACGTCGAAATAATTACAGCGTCCGCGCTGTGTCTTCTTGCAATACAAAATTATGTTAATAATTTAAAAAGATATCAAGTTCGAAAGAAGATAGATAGTTAGATAGAAAATTTATTTGCTTAAAAACATGGTACATAAGATGATCAATGGCGTGGAACTGACATGTTTTGCCATAATTTGGATGCAAAAATGATATGAAATACAGCTAATTACACAAACCCGATGTACATTTTTTTGTTTGCTTAAAAGTTAGGTACAAACATTCTTTTTGAATTCAAATAGTATTATGTACAATTAAATACTTATACAGATCCACTCTATTTGAATTCTTATACTGTAAATTGTTCATAAATTATTAATTGAATTATTATATTATTGTTACATAAATAA